GTCAGGAGTTGGGGTGGGGGGTTGAGGGGGCATCAGTGGGCTCGGGTGCCAGTGAATGTTGGGGTGGTGGGTGCTGGAGGGTCCCGTGGGTGCCCCCTCACCCCTGTCCCTCCCCCAGGCTGACCAGCTTAGCGAGGAGCAGATCGCAGGTGGGTGGACACTGGGGTGCTGGGGTGCTGGGGAACACCCAGGAGGGGACACTGGGGTGCTGGGGTGACAGGGGAACGCCCAGGAGGGAACATTAGGGTGCTAAGGTGACAGTGGGACACCCTGGAGGGGACACTGACGTGTCAGAGGGATGGCACCAGGGCACACAGGAGGTGACACTGGCTGTCAGGGTGACACGGGTGCCCAGCTGTGGCCACCTGCAGACTCCCCGGCTGTCCCTGGCCCCTGCTGGTGACAGTTGTCCTGTTGTCACCCATGGTCACCGGTCCCCAGAGTTCAAGGAGGCCTTCTCGCTCTTCGACAAGGACGGGGACGGCACCATCACCACCAAGGAGCTGGGCACTGTCATGCGCTCCCTGGGCCAGAACCCCACCGAGGCTGAGCTGCAGGACATGATCAACGAGGTGGACGCTGACGGTGAGTCCCACCTGTCCCCCTGTCCCCTTGTCCCATTGTCTCCCGGTCCCTTCCTCACCGTTCCTCCATTTGCATCCCCACCCCAGGCAACGGCACCATCGACTTCCCCGAGTTCCTCACCATGATGGCGAGGAAGATGAAGGACACGGACAGCGAGGAGGAGATCCGCGAGGCTTTCCGTGTCTTTGACAAGGTGGGGGTCGGGGACAGGGATGGGGGGAGACAAGGGGATGGGGCAAGACCGGTGTCACGGCTGGTTGTCCCCAATCCCAGGACGGGAACGGGTACATCAGCGCAGCGGAGCTGAGGCATGTGATGACCAACCTGGGGGAGAAGCTGACGGACGAGGAGGTGGACGAGATGATCCGAGAGGCCGACATCGACGGCGACGGGCAGGTCAACTACGAGGGTGAGTGCCGCTGTCACCCCCCGCTGTCACCCATGTCCCCACCCGTGGCGCTTCTCATCCCCCATGTTCCCCATCACCATTGCCCTGGGACACCACAGTGTCCCCTGTCACCCCTGGCACGAGCTCTGCTTTGGAGGCAGGAGGGACAGAAATGTGGGATCCCACGTTCTCCTATCTCCAAGAGGCCATCACCTCTTTCTGGGGACACCCCTGTGTCCCCTGTCCCTGCCAGCCTGGGGACAGCCAACCCTGCAGTGTCCCCTGTCCTCTCTGTGTCCTCCGCCTTCACAGACTACCCGTTCTCCGTGTCCTCTGACCCCACAGTGTCCCCTGTCCCCTCCATGTCCTCCATCCCCACAGGCTCCACGGTGTCCCCCATCGTGTCCCCATCCTCCCCGTGTCCCCCATCGTGTCCCCATCCTCCCCGTGTCCCTCATCGTGTCCCCTCATCCTCCCCGTGTCCCTTTCCCCCTGACCCTCCTCTCTCTCCTGGCAGAGTTTGTGCAGATGATGACGGCGAAGTGAGGGGGGCCTGAGGCCACCGTGACCAGCCCCCCGGCTGCCACTGCCTGTCCCTGCCACCATGATGACCTCTGGTCCACCCCCTGGCACACCAGACCCACCAGATAGGGACACCCATGGGGCTCTGGGGGGAAGGAAACCCCACCAGGATAGAGGGTCCCCAAATCTTTGGTGGGAGGGGCATGGGGGGGCACCCCATTGCCACAGTTTGGGGAGGTCTGGGACAGGTCCGGGGTCCCCCTCCCCAGGACACAGCAGCCCTCCACACACCCCCCCTTGCCCCATCTGGGGGCATTTCAGTGGGATTTGGAGTCTGAGGAGGGTTGGGGATCCTTGGGGGGTGGGGAGGGGGGGGGGGGAATGGCCCGGGTCCTGGTTTTCAGGGATTTTGGGCTTTGGTGGGGGTGGGACCAGGCCCTGGGGTTTATTTTTGGGCATTTTTGGGCAGGAAGTGGGGTGCTGGAAGCCCCCCCACCCCTATCTGCGTGTTGTTGAAATAAACCAGTGGTTTTGCAATTCCTGTGGCCTTAATGGGGTGCGGTAATAATGAGGGGCCCTAATGAGGGCCCTGATGCTGACGGCACACACCCCCTCGCACCCTTCGCAGAGGGTCCCCATCGTGTCCCCATCCTCCCCGTGTCCCTCATCGTGTCCCCTCATCCTCCCCGTGTCCCTTTCCCCCTGCCCCTCCTCTCTCTCCTGGCAGAGTTTGTGCAGATGATGACGGCGAAGTGAGGGGGGCCTGAGGCCACCGTGACCAGCCCCCCGGCTGCCACTGCCTGTCCCTGCCACCATGATGACCTCTGGTCCACCCCCTGGCACACCAGACCCACCAGATAGGGACACCCATGGGGCTCTGGGGGGAAGGAAACCCCACCAGGATAGAGGGTCCCCAAATCTTTGGTGGGAGGGGCATGGGGGGGCACCCCATTGCCACAGTTTGGGGAGGTCTGGGACAGGTCCGGGGTCCCCCTCCCCAGGACACAGCAGCCCTCCACACACCCCCCCTTGCCCCATCTGGGGGCATTTCAGTGGGATTTGGAGTCTGAGGAGGTTTGGGGTGCAGTTGGGGTGTATGAGTGTATTTGGGGATCGGGGGGGTGTTTGGGGTGCAGTTGGGGTGTAGTTGGGGATAGGGGTATGTTTGGGGTGTAGCTGGGGTGCAGTTGGGGTGTATGAGTGTAGTTGGGGATAGGAGGGTATTTGGGATATAGTTGGGGATAGGGGTATGTTTGGGGTGTAGCTGGAGTGCAGTTGGAGGGTATGAGTGTAGCTGGGGTGCTAGGGTGTAGTTGGGGTTACTAGCTAGAGTGCTAGGGGTGCAGTTGGGGTATATAAGTGTAGTTGGGGATAGGAGGGTATTTGGGATATAGTTGGGGATAGGGGTATGCTTGGGATGTAGTTGGGGTGTATGAGTGTAGTTGGGGATATGGGGGTGTTTGGGGTGTAGTTGTGGTGTAGGAATGTAGTTAGGGATAGGTGTTTGGGGTTCAGTTGGGTATAGTTGGGGATAGGGGTATGCTTGGGATGTAGTTGGGGTGTATGAGTGTAGTTGGGGATAGGAGGGTGTTTGGGGTGTAATTGGGGATAGCAGTAGGTTTGGGGTGCAGTTGGGGTGTACGAATGTAGTTAGGGATGGGTGTTTGGGGTTCACTTGGGGTGCAGTTGGGGATAGGGATATGTTTCGTGTGTATTTTATAGGAGGGTGTTTGGGGTGTAATTGGGGATTGGGGTATGTTTGGGGTGTAGTTGGCATGCAGTTGGGGTGTATGAGTGTAGTTGGGGATATGGGGGTGTTTGGGGTGTAGTTGTGGTGTAGGAATGTAGTTAGGGATAGGTGTTTGGGGTTCAGTTGGGTATAGTTGGGGATAGGGGTATGCTTGGGATGTAGTTGGGGTGTATGAGTGTAGTTGGGGATAGGAGGGTGTTTGGGGTGTAATTGGGGATAGCAGTAGGTTTGGGGTGCAGTTGGGGTGTACGAATGTAGTTAGGGATGGGTGTTTGGGGTTCACTTGGGGTGCAGTTGGGGATAGGGATATGTTTCGTGTGTATTTTGGGTGCAGTTGGGGTGTATGAGTGTAGTTGGGGATATGGGGGTGTTTGGGGTGTAGTTGTGTAGGAATGTAGTTAGGGATGGGTGTTTGGGGTTTAGTTGGGTATAGTTGGGGATAGGGGTATGTTTGGGGTGTAGCTGGAGTGCAGTTGGAGTGTATGAGTGTAGTTGGGTTTAAGGAGGTATTTGGGATGCAGTTGGGGTGTAGTTGGGGATAGGGGTACGCTTGGGGTGCAGTTGGGTTGTACGAATGTAGTGAGAGATGGGTGTCTGGTTTTCAGTTGAGGTGTAGTTGGGGCTAGGGGTATGTTTGGGGTGTAGTTGGGGTCTATGTGTGTGGTTGGGGATAGGAGGGTGTTTTGGGTGTAATTTGGGATAGGGGTATGTTTGGGGTGTAGTTGGGTTGCAGTTGGGGTGTACGAATGTAGTTGGGGATAGGGGGGTATTTGGGGTGCAGTTGTGGTGTACGAATATAGTTAGGGATGGGTGTTTGTGGTTCAGTTGGGGTGTAGTTGGGGATAGGAGTGTGTTTGGGGTGTAGTTGGGGTGTAGTTGGAGTGAGTGAGTGTAGTTGGCGATAGGGGTATGCTAGGGGTGTCGTTGGGGTGTATGAGTGTAGTTGGGGATAGGAGGGTGTTTGAGGTGTAACTGGGGATAGGGGAATGTTTGCGGTGTAGTTGGGTGAAGTTGGGTGTAGCTGAGGGAGCTGGGTGGGGGTGTTCAGCCTGGAGAAAAGGAGGCTGAGGGGAACCCTTCTCGCTCTCTCCAACCCCCTGAAAGGAGGGTGTAGCCAAGCTTCTGAGAGAACCTTCCTTCCTCCCGTGGAAGGTGGCAAAGTACCTCCAAGCTTCTGAGAGGAGCAGGCGTTGCTGCCACCGAAGTGATGAGAGGCTCCCAACTTTGACAAGGTTGAGGGGGTGAGACTGGGGCTGGAGACGTGCTCGGGAGAGACCCTGACCTCTGGCTGGTGGATGGGAGTGTGATGGGATGATGGATGGGATGATGCCACCTTCTCCCTCCATCCCTTCCTCCCAAACCCAGGTGTCTCGGGCACCTGAAGCCCCCTGAAGGCAGCAGAGAGGGATGGAGAGGGCAGCAGAGGAACCGGCGTCTGGGGGTCGAGAGGATGAACCACCACAGCAGGAACAGAGAAAAACCTTTATTCCTTTACCATTTAAGATGGGGGGCAGCCCAGGGGGGGTTGGCAGCCCCCCTTCCCCCGTCCCTCAGGGCCACCCTCTCCCCTTCTGGTGCCCCCAGAACTGCCACCACTGGCAGGACTAGAAGCAGCAGCCGGGGCGTCTCCACCACTCCTTGAGGGCACCCCACAGCCGGGCCCAGCACCGCTGCAGTCTGCAGGACCCCCGGCCACGCTCCCTGCCCACGGGGGGCTCCTCTGCCACCCGGGGCAGGGGCTCCGAGGAAGACTCGATGGAGCTCTCGGAGGAGGAGAAGACCAGAACCCCGGGGTTTTGCAGGGAGGTCTCGGAAGAGGAGACGGGAACCCCAAGGCTTTCCCGGCGCTTCTCGTTAATCACACGGCAGAAGGGGCAGAGGCTGGTTCTGTTTTCGGGGGGCTGGAGGTACCTCAGGGGTGGGGAGCAGAGCTGGCCATCGTTGTTGAAGAAGGACTCTGCTGGCAGGGAGTCCTTGACGTCCAGGGCGCGTGCGGGGTACAGGAAGCCATCCCTCCCAAAATAGCACAGGTTGGTGAGGGATGGACTGGAACGCAGTCTCTTTGGGAAACTGCCCTCCCTCTTCAACATCTCCTCTCTGGGCAGCTGCGCCCCTAACATGCTGGTTTTGGTCCATGAGTTTGGGGAGTTTGGGGGCTCTCCATGAGGGAAAGGCTTTTCCAGGCCTCACAGGAAGCTGAGGGGTGACCCTACAAAGGCGTTTTGGGGTTCTCCAGGAGCAAAAGGCTTCTCCCAGCCTCACAGGAGGCTGTGGGTCCCCCCAGGGCTGTTTTGGGGGTGAGGGGGGAAAGGCTGTTCTGGCCCCACAGGAGGTTGAAGTGTCACCCTGGGGAGGGTTTGAGGGAGTTTAGGGGCTCTGCCTTTGGGAAAAACCTCGCAGGAGGCTGTGAGGCCACTACGAAGATTGGTTTGGGGGAGTTTGGGGGCTCCATACCGAGGGAAAGGCTGTTCTGGCCTCACAGGAGGCTGGGGGGCCACTCAAGGGCTGCGGTTTGGGGTGAGGGAGACTCCATCCCCAAGGGAAAGGCTGCAAAAGACAGGGAAGTGAGGGGCGGCACCATGTTGTGCAGGGGAGGGAGAGGGAAATGGAAAAGGCAAAAAAATAAAAGGAAAAGGAAAAGGGTTAGGGATTTGTGGGCTGCGGGAAGGAGATGGGGGAGAGGAGGGGAGAGATGAGGTGGGTGGAGGGGGGAAAATGGCAGGGAGGTGGGAGTGAGGGCATGAGAGGAATTGGGTGCCAGTGTGAGGGGAGTGTGAGGAAAATGGGCGTTAGTGTGAGGGGGAATTGGTAGCACTTGAGGGAAATGGGCATTACAGGATTATCTCTTCTGGGAGAGAGCATGTGAGCTTGTAAAGTTTTTTTACTTAATTGATGAGATTTTGTTGATGAACGTTCAAGTTCTTGCCGCGCTATTCATGTTGGTGGGATAAATAAGCAATTAAAAGCTGCTCCATTGGTGCCAGCAGCAGAATCGGGTGGTTCAAGGTGTTTTGGTCTTTTCTGTGATGGCGGCAGAGTCCCCCTCGGCCATTTGTCACATTTCAAGCACCCGGTTGGGCTTATTGGTGTCACCAAGGGGGGCTCTGACGG